GGTGAGGGAATAGTTCGAAGGATATGATGAGCGGGGTAATCTGGGTCTTTGGCTGTACAGGAGCTGGAATGCAGGCAGGAGGAGCACACACCTCAGCGATCCGGGAACTAGGAGGAACAGGAGACGAGGAGACACTAGGAGGAACGTAATGCAGGAAGTATTCAAATGGAAGTAGTAGCAAAGTCATTGAGTCCTCTACGTGTATACGAGACCGGACAGTGAGGGTGTCTGAGGTGTGTGCTTTTATGCAGGCTGGTTAATGAGGTGCTTGATTAGTGACAGGTGCAGGTGCGCAGTACTCAGGTGAAAGCAATCTCGTAGCAGCGAGAGGGTGTTGTTGGCCCCTGGATGGCCAGTGCATCGGGAGGAGTGAGCAGAGTTAATCAGTGGGGTGCGCTGTGTCCGTGGTACGTACTGGCATCCGGGAGGACAGCCCGGCGGATTGTTGGGAGCCGTGTTGAAGGCCACTGAAGGGGAATTACATTCAATGGGACTGACGATCATCTGAGGCGGAATGATACCTTCCGGTTCTTCAGGGCCTTCCACATGACTGTGAATACGAGACGTTTCGGGGACCAGGGCGATATGTAATGGTAAAATTTAACCTGGTAAAGAATAATGCCCATCGTGCTTGGCGGGGATTTAGACGTTTAGCTTCACGAAGATACTGGAGGTTTTTATGGTCGGTCAGTACGGTGAATGGATGGGCTGCCCCCTCCAGCCAATGCCTCCACTCCTCTAGGGCCAGCGTTAGCAAGTCCATAGGGCATGACCAGATACTCGTAGTGGCCAGTAGGGGTCACAAAGGCAGTCTTCCATTCATCCCCCTCACGTATCCGGATGAGGTTGTAGGCACTGCGGAGGTCCAACTTGGTGAAAACGGTCGCCCCTCTGAGATTTTCCAGGGCATTAGGGACGAGGGGAAGAGGATATCGGAATTTGATAATGATATTGTTTAATGCTCGGTAAGCAGTGGCGGTAGCTTGTAACTTGAGCTGGCGGCAGAGGTTTCTGGAGATGAAGTTTCCTACTGACCCGGAGTCGATTAGGGCCGATACTGAAATAGAGACATCAGAGGCAGTAAGCATTACACGATATCAGGCTGAATCACACTCACCACAGGACGTGGAGGGCGAAGGGGGCATGACAAGATCAGATGCCCCTGAGCTCCACAGTACAAACAGAGACCCCAGGTCAGCCTTCTCTGCCGCTCAGCAGAAGATTATCGTTGCTTCCCCACAATCATGGGTTCTGGTGCTGGTTCTGGAGGGTAACCGGGCTCTGGGAGGAGGTTGTGGCGGGGACTGGTGTTGCTGCTAAACAGGACTGCATGCGGTTTGAACAACGGACGGACAATTGAATGAATTTTTCCAATCCAAATGAATCATCATATGCAGCGAGCTGTAACCATAGCTGGGGCTCCAGCCCCTCTCTGTAAGTAGTCAGCAGCGATCTCTTTTTCCATCCACTTGCTGCTGCGAGAGTTCTGAACTTCAGCGAGTATTCGGCAATTGACATGGTACCCTGCTGCAAATGGTAGAGTTGCTCTCCCATGGCGGTATCTCTGTCTGTCCTTCCAAACACCTCGCGAAAATGCACTATGAAGTTCAGCAGATTGTGAATAACGGGCTGGCCTGAGTCCAGATTGTTTCCGCCCATCGCAATGCAGGTCCTGTTAGCAGGGAGATAATAAAGGCAATTTTAGAAGTGTCAGTGGGATATGATTGCGGTTGCATTTCAAAAGTGAGGTTACACTGGAGGAGAAATCCGTTGCAATCCTCCGCCGAACCAGAGTAGGGCGCTGGTCGGGCCATGGGACTGACGCTGATGTTAGGCGAAGAAGTGCTGGTTGGGATGGAC